TATAATGGTTATTCGACAGCACGAGGTTTGAGCGTAGCTCTCGTGAAGTTGCGACTAAGCGAAAGCGCAGGTGAAACAGCAGAGGTTCCTGAGGGCATGCGATTCGAAACTCCAGATGGCGAGAGAGGGGCGACGCGTGGGCACAGCTGCATCTGGTGGTGCTGTGGTTCTCACAAGAAGACCCATGGACACATGGACTCATGTGGTGTCCATCCAGCAGCAGCACCATCCAGCACATGGACACATGGCTATGCCTCATGCCTGTCGTAAGAAGAAAACGACCGAACTTTCTTTGCGCGGACTGCGGCAGGCACAGGCTAGGCTGAATTGTGAAGCACCAGGCCAGAGTCTCCCGGGGTAGACTTCTGCAATCGATGCGTTCCCTCGCTCTGTCATGAATCAAGAAATCAGAGTCGCCGTCGAAACCAAAAACGAAAATTTGTGGCAGAAACTCTCTGCTGCATGCGGCTCGTTCGCTGAATTTCAAAGTTGCGCTTCGCACAATATTCGATGGAGGACCCCGATGGGTTCTCCACTTGCGCTTCGCGAGACGCGTTCTTTGCTGTCAGAAACGCAGCAGTGGCTTCTCAATTAGAAGGTCATCATACAAGCGGGTAATACACTAGGTAGAAATAACCTATTCTGCTAGACGTTTTTAGCACCAGCCACACATGCTTGCACTTCTATTTCGCAAATATGCCCGTGTTCACCAGTTGACATGTGCACAGCCAATCTCCGTGCAGCTACAGGGCTTACCAACACTAGGATACAAGTCGGAACGACTCAGGAAGGACGCAGGAAGGAAGACGGTGGGCAGGGTTTTTGAGTCGACTCAAAAGTCAAGAGTCACAGTCCTCGTCATTTGAGGACGCAGGAGGGAAGACGGTGGGGAGGGTTCGAATGAGGAGCTCGAATGAGGTGAAGGTGATGACTGCAGCGGGTGTGGTTCTAAAGAGGTTTGTCACACAACCCCGATAGAACCCGCGAATGCCTTCCTCCTTGAATATCTGAACAGTAAGGCAATTGGCAAAAACAGGGGTTAAAAAAGAGAGGAGATGATTTAAGCCTGTTACAAATCTGGATCTCCAAATTGCTCCGATAAAATCCAAGAATGCCTTCCTCCTTGAATACGCAAAATAGCAACAATTAGTAAGTAATAAATCAGGAGGAGAGGACTGGGGACTTTGGGGAAGCGAATAGCAGAACACAAGGGGTAAACAGGAGAAATGCGTAATCTGGTGCAGCTGAAGACAGGCAGATGACATGAAGCCAGATGACATGAAGCCAGATGACATGAAGCCAGCTGACATGAAGCCAGATGACATGAAGCAAGATGACATGAAGCCAGATGACATGAAGCCAGCTGACATGAAGCCAGATGACATGAAGCCAGATGACATGAAGCCAGATGACATGAAGCCAGATGACATGAAGCCAGCTGACATGAAGCCAGATGACATGAAGCCAGATGACATGAAGCCAGCATAAACAAATATACTTACAGGCTCGAGCTACACTCACCCGCGTTATACAGTCCCCCATGCCTGTGTAACGGTGTGCATTTCCTAAGTCCTTCCCCTGCTCTTGAAGCCGTGCTCTCACCACCTGAGAGGCGTGGAAAGGGAAGGAGAGAGAGAGAGAAATTTATAGTTGAGACGCCTAAACACACACACACACACACACACACACACACACACACACACACACACACACACACACACACACACACACACACACATGCGTGGGCACGCATGCACATACATGATTGTTGCAGCGAATCTTTTGAAGTTTGCAACACACGATGCAGCTTACGACGGGGGTGTCTGGTCTGAACCTAAGTTGCAAAATACGCTCAGGACACTGTGCGTTTAGCGGATATACGCTAGTGTTTACACGCTAAACGCAAGCTAATACGCTATACGCTTGCCAATTTTTTTTGGGGCAGCCCGACCGAAAAAATGTGAATATACGGAAAGATGCGGAATTGCACGACGAGAGTGAACGGCAATTTCCGCGCTGATCGGCAATTTCCCTTCCCCGCAGATCCGCGCAGATTGAAGGTTCTTCCCGCAGAAGGGATGGGGGGAAAGACTCTCCCTATATCAACGTCTTGTAGATCTGGACTGGAAGTGACGTGACGACTGTACAAATTTCAAATATCAAATTGGTTGGATGAGATAGATGCAATGCGGTGAAGATAGGTGATGGGAGGGGGAATTGTTTTTTAAGGCAACATTGGCGATGGGTGTGGGGCACGAATTCCAACATTGGCGATGGTTTCCCTGTCCAGGATCTCTCCTACGCCTCCTCCTACACTCTAGCAATCATGCCTTGTGATCGCGAGCCCGAAGCAGAGCAGATTCGCGCAACGCTATTGCAGTCTATAGCCTACGAACTCTGCATCTTAACCCAATTTTGGGCCGAGTCAAGGGTGGTTATCTTGGAATGGAGAAAAACTTACCTCTGAAACATAACCCCTTAGATTCCCCCCCCCCTATAATAGCCCGGGCGGATTTTTTTCCCTGCCCGGGAAAGTTTTTTTCCTGCCCCAAAAAGCGTATGTCCAAATGGCTCCCTTACGCGTATAGCGTATATACGCTAGCGTATATACGATACGCGTATATACTCTATAAGCGTATTTTGCAACTTAGGTCTGAACTTACCTCATGCGGATAAGTGAGTGGTGAGGCAAAGACTGTGGAGATTGCAACACATGAAGGGGCCTGGTGCGACCACACAGTGCAGCTATTCCCAATGGGGGTGTCTCTGATCCGAACTTACCTCATGCGGATAAGTGAGTGTTGAGGCAAAGACTTTAGAGATGGCAGAGGCTGCTGCTAGCTGGGGGCCCTTAGCCTTCCTTACCACCTTATAGCTTGGGGATTGCAATGCACCACAGGATAGGCCTGGCTGGGGGCTTACCTCGTGGGGGTATGTGAGTGTTGAGGCAAAGACTTTAGAGATGGCAGAGGCTGCTGCTAGCTGGGGGGCCGTTAGGGTGTCTGTGGTTGACCCTTCTGCTCCGCGAGATGGGAAGTGGGATGGGGAGGGAGGGAGGGAGGAAGGGGAGGTGAGATGTCTGAAAAGGAAATGGCAGAGGCTGCTGCTAGCTGGAAGGCCGTTAGGGTGTCTGTGGTTGACCCTTCTGCTCCGCGAGATGGGAAGTGGGATGGGGAAGGATAGGGAGGGAGTAAGGAGAGTTAGAGAGTGAGGAGGGAGAGATAGCGAGGGGATGAGGAGAGATAGGGAGGTAGGGAAGGAGGAAAGGGAAGAGAAGGCGAGAGCAGGTTTTAAGAGATAGGGAGCGCCACGGTACTGGCATTATCGAAATCACTTTTGAGAACGCCACGGTACTGGCATTATCGAAATCACTTTTGAGAACGCCACGGTACTGGCATTCCCCCTCTGCCCCCCCCTTATCCTTATCCCTGCCTGAACAGACCCATTATGCCAACTCACATGCATCTGCTCACCTCTGCACGCCATCTGCTGCTTGATATACTCATACATGGGGAACTGGATTGCCACATGACTGATACCTGCTAGTGCACCCTGCTAGTGCACCCTGCTAGTGCACCCTGCTAGTGCACCCTGCTAGTGCACCCTGCCTCACCTTTTCCCGCCATTTTCTCACCTCTGCACGCCATCTGCTGCTTGATATACTCATACATGGGGAACTGGATTGCCACATGACTGATACCTGCTAGTGCACCCTGCTAGTGCACCCTGCTAGTGCACCCTGCTAGTGCACCCTGCTAGTGCACCCTGCTAGTGCACCCTGCCTCATGCCGGCCCTAACTCAGAGAACACAAAACCCCTGCTCACCTTTTCCCGCCATTTTCTCACCTCTGCACGCCATCTGCTGCTTGATATACTCATACATGGGGAACTGGATTGCCACATGACTGATACCTGCTAGTGCACCCTGCTAGTGCACCCTGCTAGTGCACCCTGCCTCATGCCGGCCCTAACTCAGAGAACACAAAACCCCTGCTCACCTTTTCCCGCCATTTTCTCACCTCTGCACGCCATCTGCTGCTTGATATACTCATACATGGGGAACTGGATTGCCACATGACTGATACCTGCTAGTGCACCCTGCTAGTGCACCCTGCTAGTGCACCCTGCTAGTGCACCCTGCTAGTGCACCCTGCCTCATGCCGGCCCTAACTCAGAGAACACAAAACCCCTGCTCACCTTTTCCCGCCATTTTCTCACCTCTGCACGCCATCTGCTGCTTGATATACTCATACATGGGGAACTGGATTGCCACATGACTGATACCTGCTAGTGCACCCTGCTAGTGCACCCTGCTAGTGCACCCTGCTAGTGCACCCTGCTAGTGCACCCTGCCTCATGCCGGCCCTAACTCAGAGAACACAAAACCCGTGCTCACCTTTTCCCGCCATTTTCTCACCTCTGCACGCCATCTGCTGCTTGATATACTCGTACATGGGGAACTGGATGGCCACATGGCTTATGCCTGCCAGTGCCGGCACCACGCCACTGCTCACACGCACCACCAACAAGAAACCGGGCACACATAGAGAGAGACAAGGTAAAGAGACATTGAGAGGCTTTGCTGTCTGTTGCGTTGGATTGACTCCAAGACAGTGGCTTATGCCTGCCCGTGCTGGCACCACCCCACTGCTCACACACACCAACCAAGCAGAGCAGAGCGAGAGAGGGAGAGAGAGAGACTTCAGAAGTCCGCTCAAGTCCAGGTCCTCTGAAGAGGAGGGTGAAAACATGTCCACCTCCTCTCTCCCTGCCCCTCCTCCCCCTCCCCCTCCTCCTCTCCTCTCCCTGCCCCTCCTTCCTGCCCCTCCCCCTCTCCCCTTCCCTGTCCCTCCCTTCATCTGTGAGTCGACTCAAAAGTCATCTCCCCCTCCCTGTCCCTCCCTTCCCCTTCGAGGTGACTTTTGAGTCGACTCAAAAGTCAAAAGTCATCTCCCCCTCCCTGTCCCTCCCTTCCCCTTCGAGGTGACTTTTGAGTCGACTCAAAAGTCAAAAGTCATCTCCCCCTCCCTGTCCCTCCCTTCCCCTTCCCTCCCCCTCTCAAAAGTCATCTCCCCTTCCCTGTCCCTCCCTTCATCTGTACAGCCCTCCCAGCCCTTCCCCTCTCCCTCCTCTTCTCCTCCCTCCGTCTCACCAGTACAACCCCCCCCAACCCTTCCTCTCTGGTGATCCGCACAAGGGCGGAAAAAGCTCACTCATACGCATCACGTCTCTCCCCATCCCCATGCACCTTCCTCACTCTCCCTCTTTCAAACTCCCCCCCATCTCACCTGTACAGCCCCCCCAGCCCTTCCTCTCTTGTAATCCGCACAAGGGCGGAAAACGTTCCCTTGTAGGGCCGCCTGTTGGTCCGCATGGCTTGAGTCTGGTGATTGATGGAGGGGAGAGGGGAGGGGGGAGAGGGAAAGAGGGGGTTGTGTGGGTAGGGAGATGGGCAGTGGGATGGGTGGAACGGGTTTACATTTCCCCAGCCCTTCCTCTCTTTTGAAAATTCTCAAAAGTGTTCCCCCAGCCCTTCCTCTCTTTTGAAAATTCTCAAAAGTGTTCCCCCAGCCCTTCCTCTCTTTTGAAAATTCTCAAAAATGTTCCCCCAGCCCTTCCTCTCTGGTGATCCGCACAAGGGCGGAAAACGTTCCCCTGTAGGGCCGCCTGTTGGTCCGCATGGCTTGAGTCTGGCGATTGAAAAGGGTGAACGGCGGGGGAGGGGAGGGGGAAGAGGGAGGGGGGATACGGGACAACAGGATGGAATCAGGGGGTTTTTAGACATCCGCACGGCCAAGACGTTTTTAGACATCCGCACGGCCAAGAAGTTTTTAGACATCCGCACGGCCAAGAAGTTTTTAGACATCCGCACGGCCAAGAAGTTTTTAGACACTGCAAGGATTGCTTCACCCTGCAAGGCCGCCTGTTGGTTTGCATGCTTTGGCTCTGATGATGTCTCGTTTTGAGGCGCCTCGTTTTGAGGCGCCTCGTTTTGAGGCGCCTCAAAACTACACTTCTTCTCCCTGCAAGGTCGTCTGTTGGTTTGTGCTTCGCATGCTTTGGCTCTGATGACTGAAGAGGTGGGGGTGAGGGGGAAATTGGGAAGCGATTGAAGATGGGAAAGAGGAGAAGCGGGGGAAGAGGGCAGAGAGGGGAAGTGGGGTTGGGTGGGTTTCGGGTTGAAAGGGGGAAGAGGGGAGATTGGCAATGGGATGGGTTGAGACGTCTCAAGGCCCAAGGCTCACCAGCAGTCTCGTGTTGCTTTGAGACGTCTCAAGGCAGGAAAAATCTTTGTTCTCTGTAGGTCGATTTCCCAAAAGACTCACCTGCAGCTTCGTCTTGACGACCCACAGGGGGTTGGTGGCGAAGACGTTTGCCGTGCCTGCTCTGCTGCTACGTCTCTCAACGCTTGATGATTTCCTGTAGTTTCCTGCACCTAGAGCTTCGAACAGACAGACTCACCTGCAGCCACGTCTTGACGACCCACAGGGGGTTGGTGGCAAGGACGTTCGCCATGCCTGTTCCTGCTGCTTTGAGAAGTCCACAGGGTTTGATTATTCCCTAGTTCCTGTACCTCCAACTCGAAGCAGACTCACCTGCAGCCACGTCTTGACGACCCACAGGGGGTTGGTGGCGAGGACAGTAGCTGTGCCTGCTCCTGCTGCTGCCAACACACTTCGCCCCAGCGACAGCTGCTGCTGCTGCTGCTGCTGCTGCTGCTGCTGCTGCTGCTGCTGCTGCTGCTGCTGTGGCCGTGCCGTGCCTGCCCCTCCTGCTGTTTCTTTGACGACACACAAACAATGCAGACACCTCAGCACTCACTCACCTGCAGCCTCGTCTTGACGACCCACAGAGGGTTGGTGGCGAGGACGGTGGCCGTGCCTGCTCCTGCTGCTGCCAACACACTTCGCCCCAGCGACAGCTGCTGCTGCTGCTGCTGCTGCTGCTGCTGCTGCTGTGGCCTTGCCTGTTGCCCCTCCTGCCCCTCCTCCTGCTGCTCCTGCTGCTCTGAACCCTGTTCTGGTGATTCTTCGTGGCTGCTGGGAACTGGGTGGTGGCACAGGTGATGAGAACAGTCCAATTTTAGCTATTAATTGCCACACCACCAAAACTAAAGGCTTCATCAGATATAGTCACAGTTCATACTAGCACATCACAAATCGCTTCAATCACCTCACCTGCGCCTGAGGGAATGCACTCGCTACAGTATCCGCGTTATTGGCATTCTAGTTCAAAGCTCGTGCTAGCTGTGTGTCACAACCAATCCGTTTCAATCACTATGACTGCATTAAAGCCTATTAAAAGCTCACCTGCGCCTGAATGACTCGGCTCGCTTAGCATCCTCTTTAAATGGTCGTACACTGAAAAGTACACCTGGCAGAGTGGAAGAGAAAGCGAACAAGAAAGGGGGTGAAGGAGATGGATGAGAGAGGGGAAGAGGAGGATTCATTAGAGAAAGGAACGACACCTCAGCCGCGACTAGCTGCCTTCATATCCGCTTTGAATGGTCGTACACCTCTCTTGAGACCAAGTACACCTGACGGTGAGACAACTCTATCTATCACTGACGAATCACACCTCTTCACATCAAGGTTCTCGTAAAAAAACGGACCGATTATTACGGTCCGTTTTTTACGGTATTTTTTTTCAAAGATACAGCCGTTTTTTTGTTAGAGAACACTCTTGTCACGAAGAAAAAAAAAGGCAAAAACAAGGTCGGTTCCATTCTCAATCATGACCACAAACGCATACATGCAAGAATGTATGCGAAGAGGACGAACCATACATGCAAGAATGTATGCGAAGAGGACGAACCATACATGCAAGAATGTATGCGAAGAGGACGAACCATACATGCAAGAATGTATGCGAAGAGGACGAACCATACATGCAAGGCGAAGAGGACGAACCATGCATGCAAGAATGTATGCGAAGAGGACGAACCATACATGCAAGAATGTATGCGAAGAGGACGAACCATACATGCAAGAATGTATGCGAAGAGGACGAACCATACATGCAAGAATGTATGCGAAGAGGACGAACCATACATGCAAGAATGTATGCGAAGAGGACGAACCATACATGCAAGAATGTATGCGAAGAGGACGAACCATACATGCAAGAAGGGGTTCGTCCTCTTCATCCTGCTGCTTTTCGCCGTCAATTTGGTCCCTTAAAATGGCCAAACTTTTCTTCAAACAAAAATCCCCTCCAGGAACCGTTTTAACCAGTTTTTTTACGGTACCGTTTTTTACGGTGAAATTAAAAAAAAAACGGTCTTTATTTTTTTAACCCTGCTTCACATTGGCGGAGTGATAGAGACCAATGTGAAAGCACTCACCGCCCAGTTGGGCAGCAGAGCCACCATGGTGGGGGACGGGGACAGCCCTCGGTACAGCCCCCTCAGACCCTCCGTGCCTTGCGTGTCTCTCGTGCATGCCACCTCTCATTCCATCTGAACCTCATTGTGTCATTCCCATCCATTCACTCACCGCCCAGTTGGGCAGCAGAGCCACCATGGTGGGGGAGAGCCCGCGGTACAGCCCTCTCAGGCCCTCCGTGCGCCAGATGGTCTGGAGGGACCCCGCTATCACGCCCATGCGCCACCGCCTCCCCGCCGCTGCTGCTTTTCCCCCCGCGCCTGTTCCCCCCACTGCTACTCCCCCCGCTCCCCCTGCTCCTAATCCCCCTGATCCTCCCGCCCCTCGCGCTGCTTCTGCTGCCGCGGCGGCTGCGGACGCGGACGGGGGAGTGGCAAGCACAGTCGCTATCCGAGCGAACGGCGGCGGGGAGGCAGATGCTGCTGCTGCTGCTGCCCCTCCTCCTGTTGGCGCTGCTAATGGCCTCGCGCTAGCTGCTGCTGTTCCCCCTGCTGCTGACGTGGAGGCTTGTGGTGCGCCCATCACTTGCAGGCGGGTCTTGACCACGTCTAGCGGCGCTACAAACGTGGCGGCTACAGCTCCTGGACAGGGAGGAGGGGAGGGGAGAGGGGTGCAGAACGGTGGGGGAAAAGCTCTTGACCGCGTCTAGTGCCGCTACAAACGTGGCGGCTACAGCTCCTGGACAGGGGGGAGCGACGAGGGGGGAATGTGAGAGGAGGCATGAAGGGGGACTGTCTTGACCACGTCTACCGGCGCTACAAGCGTGGCGGCTACAGCTCCTGAAGAGGGGCGGAGGGGGAAGTAGGGCGAAGTGGGGGGAAGTGATCACTTCCCCATTCCCGCCATCGTCCAGCCTTCTGGTCACTTTTTGAATCGACTAAACAATCTCACCTGCGCCAGCGCCGGCCATGCCGCTGAAGAGCTTCGACCGCTGCTCTTCTGGCAACTGGGCCATCCATTTCCCCACCAGCCTTCTCGCTACCCCCTTCCCGCCATCGTCCTGCCTTCTAGTCGGCCCCTCCCCATCGTCCCGCCTTCTGACTAACCCCTCCCCATCATCCCGCCCTGCAGCGCGTGCCGACGCCAGATCGCCGTCCTTGGATCAGCCCTCTCCAGCCGTCCGATCTTCCAGAGCCGCTGAATTTGGTCTTCCGAAGCCGTTAGATCCTGTCTTGGTATCGGGGACTTGAGCAGTCCCCCTAGAGGCAGATATCCACTATTGAGCCAAATTGGCGCGGATAAGGGTTGAAGAACGGTCTGCAGTGGTCGTAATCCGTTGAGAAGGGCAAACCGATAACGCGGATGCCGCAGCAACGGACCGACTAGAGCAGCCTCATTGGGGTCCTTCTTGTATCGGTTCTGCGGATCGTTTAGGTTTTGACACGTCTCAGGAACCGTTTTGAGAGTATTCGGGGTACTCGCGGTTCGAAGGTCTCACAAATGGATAATGCGTGCCGATGAAGTTTTGCGAGTTGGCGATACTAAGCTTCCGCGAGAGGTTCGGAAGAATCGCTATTCAAGGTAAGCTCTTACTACAATCCCTAGACCGAAGAAATGAGTTCCTACATGAGCAGGTGGCGGTTAAGTCCCTAAAACTCAGAATCATGACAGCTATCATCCATCGCTCACTGTCTGGAACTATGTACGAGTCGAACCGGCGTCCTCGATCAGGGAGGCGAGCCTGAACCCCAGGCTCGTGCTTGTACTTCCGAACTTCACAGGCAGTAAGTTTCAAGGTAGGGCGGCCTCGGCAGGTACCAAGCCTGAAACTTCACGGCTGTTCCCGCCACTTCATTACCAAACCCAAACCAGTTGTTACGGTTCGGTGTTCGGGCTTGGGAACCGATTTCAGCGTCGAGGTGTTCGACATAACCTGGGAGAGTGACGAGAAAAGAGTGTCTCACGACGGCCAATGATAACACTTCTGCGGCCTCCAAGACGCCGCGTGTTTGGCCTGTTCCCGAGTGTCACTTGATGAGTGGTCAAAGAAAACCCAATCCGCAGTGCGCTGAACAGAGATGTTGTGCCTGCTAAGAGCATTCGCGGAACGCATACAGATGAACTCTGCGTTGAAAGCCCCACCACTGATTTTCGCCACTTATAAGTTTCGTCGATTTTCTACCAAATGGCACCAGAACAGGAATACCATCGCCTCAGAATATACTGCATTATGTTCTCTAGTTTTAACATTATGCTGTCTCTCATTGGTGAACTTATTTGCACGCTACCGAGAAGCTGTCTAACGGGCTATGGTGATTGGGACCTTCGTAGAAGTCACTCGCCCCACATGGCTCCACCGACTTGCGATCTGATCTGCGATTGGAATATCGAGATGCGACGCTCTCCTCCGCCGTCAGCCACCGATGTCGCGTCGTCCAAAACAACTGTTTTGCCGAACCAGCTCCTCCTGTCGCTTCGGCCCCGATTTATCGGACGTGCTTCGGAGGTGTGGGGTGCACACAGGCCGGCTCGGGGGAAGGCCCCCCTCGCCTAGTGATTTGACCCGCCAAGCCCAGCCTCTCTCCCCAAGCAATTGTGCCGAACCATTTCTGGTCTTTCGTCAATTCGCCAGATCGCTAGCCTCTATTAGGTGCACTTTTCGTCAAACGCTCATGATTTCTCGCGACTTCGCCCAACAACTCGTGGAGTTTCCTCCATTTTCAGCGCCCGCATCACGGAGACCATTCAACATAAGGGCGTGTAAAACTGTAACACCAAAACCAGATGATCGATCATTTGCGCGTTTCAGCTGAGTGCGAAATGTGTAACGCCTAAGCGAGCCCCGCCTCAAATCTCGAGGCAGAAAATACCATGAAAATTCGATCAGATCGGTGTGACTATTCGAATTGGCGTAACCCTCCTTCCTCGCAATCGTCAGAAACGCGTAAAAATTCGACCGTTGCCTTTGATCGTTACAGCTTTCACGCCCTAATCTGCTCGAACCAGATTCTCAAACCCGGCCGAGCCGAGCCTTCGTTCCCCTTGCTTACCCTCCCCCTTGCCCGAAACCTCCCGCTGCATCTTTCCCCCCGACCTCACCTCAAAACCACTCGGTTCGGCTCGTCGCTCAAATCGCTCATCATCGAATCTATTGATGTGGCTCGTCGTCGTCGCCACTCTTCTCAACCTCCAACGCGCCCCCCAACTCCAACGCGCCCCACCCGCGCAAAACGAGCCGACCAACCAAAATCGTCGACTTTCCGTCGGTCGGCCAGACGCTACTTCTCAGCAGCGAAAATCGCGTGAGGTACCTCCCATGACTTTGAGGAGTGAACAGCAGATGAGCTAATGAGCTGGCACTCGTCATTCTTTTCTAAGAACATCACTCTGAGGTGTCCCTTTTGCGTACTAGAATTTGCGAGAAAGATTGCTCGTCGCGCCCCGGCAATTTCTAGCACCTAGCGAGCAACAAGAACCTTCATCCTCCGCGCCACTCTGCAGAAACCTGAGCCTTGTTTAGCGTGCGAGACTAACGTTGCCTTTACCGAATCGGTTTGCGAGGATTAATAGAATAAGCAGAAACGTGCTAGTAGGTTTGCGCTGGGCAACATCTTGAGGCGACTCGGCAAACATTTTGAGTTGACTGGGCTAAGGAACCATCTTTGAGCCGCCTTTGACTGAGCCATCTTGAGTTGACTGAGGGCACCCTGTCAACATGGGGTACGACGAGGAGCTTGGCGGGGCTGCGGGAACGGCGGGGACGCCAGGGTCGGGGTCGATATTAATGTCTGACGTTGAATCCCCGACTGCGGCCAAGGCGAAGCTGAAAGAGGTTCGTGCCGTGCCGCGCGTGCCGGTGTCGCAAAATGCAGGCTTTCCGCCTTTTCGTGTTTCTTGCCCCGTTCTTCGCATTTTAGTTCCCACGTTAACGAGAGCGCGTTTCTTCCGCCCATATTCCACTCCCTTCCGTGCCCCCCTTTCGCCGCCCTTCCGCGTCCCCCTTCCCCGCCCTTCCGCTCCCCCCTTCCCCACCCTTTGGCGCCTCCCCTTTCCGCGTGCGCGTATGTCACCACCAGGGGCGTCCCCTCCCCACATGCCTTCCGTCCTTCGTTCTTACCAGACTCCTTCCTTACCTGTCGTCCTCTCCCTGCCCCTTCCTGCCCCCTTACTGCCTTCCCCACATTCCCTCCATCCTTCGTTCTTACCTGACTCCCCCTTCCTCCGTTCTCTTCCTTCTTCCCCCATTTCCCCCTCCCCTCCCCTTTTCCCCGTTCTCTTCCCCTCTTCCAGCCGTCAGCGGCGGACCTAATGAAGGCGCAGCGGAAGGCGGAAGCCAGCGCGGGGAAGGGCGCGGGCGCGCGGCGACGAGGCTGCGGGTGGTGCGACGTTGCTGCGTGGACGGGCCTTGTGGTGTCGCTGGCGCTCGTGGGGTTCGGCCTGGCCATTCTCATCCTCGCCCTCACCTTCAACACCGAGGTACATGTTCACTGCTCTCGCTCTTGGCCAATCAGTAGGACGAAACCCACATTGCCGCGTGGACGGGCCTCGTGGTGTCTCTGGCGCTCGTGGGGTTCGGCCTGGTGATTCTCATCCTAGCTCTCACCTTCAACAGCGAGGTAGGCCGTTTTCCCCCACCGAGACATGCCTCTCCTCGCGTCTTTTAGGGGTTATTTTTTTTTAGGAGTGCGCCGTATAGTGACAAGGGACTCACATTGCTTCGCCCTGGCAATTCTCATCCTCTTCCTCACCTTCAACACCGAGGTATAGGGGTCCTTAACCGTCCTAGAAGTCCAGTTTTGAGGCGCCCTCAAAACTTGGCAATTCTCATCCTCTTCCTCACCTTCAACACCGAGGTACTAGCCGTCCTTCACCATCCTAGAAGGCCCTCATGTTCCCCACCTGCTCTTTAGAATCTGCTCTCCTTACATTCAACTCCTCTTTTAAGGGACCAACCTCACCTCTTCCCCTCCTCTTCCTACACCTCCCCGCTCATTCCTCCCCATCACGTGCATCACAGGGTCCACGGTTGAAATCCTCAAGGTGGGCCAAACTCACCTCTTCCGTTCCTCTTTCCCCCACCACTCCTCCGCCTCCTCCCATCACGTGCACTGCAGGACCCAAAGTTCGAAATCCTCAAGGTGGATTTGAAGCAGCTGAACTTTGGAACTTCTGGGAACCTTCTGTTTGATTTCAACAACTTCAAGGTCAAGGCAAACGGCAAGGCGGATGTCAAGGCGCTGGTGGTTAACCCTAACAACCACGAGGTGATCGTGGAGGCGCTCAATGTCAACCTGAAGCTCTTCAATGTTGATATTGCAAACACTTCGGTACGTGCCAGAAACCCTAGAACATGACTCATCCTGGTACCTCCTTCGGCTCGGGGCCTCTGGCGGTTAACGCTAACAACCACAAGGTGATCGTGGAGGCGCTGAATGTCAACCTCAAGCTCTTCAACGTCGACATTGCCAACACTTCGGTATGTAGTAGAGGCCTTGAAATGTGGTACATCCGTTATGGTGGTTAACCCTAACAACCACTAGGTGATCGTGGAGGCACTTAACGTCAACCTGAAGCTGTTCAACATCGACATCGCCAACACTTCGGTACGTGCCAGAAATCCAGAATGTGGTTCGTCTTTTGATTGCGTAGAATGTGAAGGTGCTGGTGCTTAACCCTAACAACCATGAGGTGATCGTGGAGGCACTGAATGTCAACCTGAAGCTCTTCCACGTTGACATCGCCAACACCTCAAGATGTCCATTGTGGCACCTACTCTACTCCCTATCTTCCCTATTTCACCTCTTCCAACCGTAGTGCCTCACCTTGGCTCTCACATGCCTGGCTGCCCTATCCTATTCCCATATCAACCAGATCCCCGGATTCGAGCTCTCAAAGAAGGGAAACATCACACTGAGCATTCCATTTCCCATCAAGAATCTTCCGGTCATTGCTACCGGTAACAAGGACAACCTCATTACTACATCGCTCCGCAAGGGACAAGTGGATGTCAAGGTGGGATACTGAAGCGTTATGGATGTTATTTTATGGTATTGCATTGTTTTCATTGCAGCGCTCGCCTCATCCTTTTCCCCTGGTTTTTGTCACCCATGCTGGTCTTACAGCTCAATATAGACTCTAGAGGCAAGGTGAAAATTTTGGGAATGGCAACACCATCATATAATGTAAGTGGTGCACGTGCCTCTGCGTTCGTAACCGGCCATTTTGTGAGCAGCATGTCACATGTGACTTGTTACTGACACTTACCAAAAACATTCCTTTCATCTTTGTTGCAGCTCCTCATCGCGTGCAATATCACGGTGGATCCATTTGGGGGGGACCAGATCTTTCGTCAGAAATGTTTCAAGACCAGATCAAAAGCGTAAACAATTAGCAATGCCAGCCCAATGCATTGTTTTCATGTCCCGTGCTTATAAGTGGTATATATTTATTTTCAGAAAAAATGAAGCGTATATTTTAAGGGGGTTCAGCTCTAGGATCAAATGCAGTAGCAACATCCTAACTAGCATAAGATTCCTCAAACCACACTTCACACAGCACACTTTTTCTCCAACCGCACTACACACCACACAATGGTTTGAAATGTCGGTGCTTCACTGTCGGTCGCGTCTCGAATGATGTTTGGGTGAACTGACACGGTTTCGAGTCGCGATGACTGCCAGAACCGTACCTAGGTTTGGGTGTACCGCGCGCTCCGTCCCCAGCTGTGGCCTCCTCCCCCCGCCAAAATCAGAATGAGGTGGTTGCGTAGTGTGGCTCATTGGTGGTATCTTCGCATCCAATCAAGTTCCCTGGATCTGTCGGTCAGCCGTTCGATGATGCCATCATCAGGCTCCGCTCCATACGAAGGAATACGAGGTCTGCGAGGGGAAGACGATGTTCGTTGGAGCAAACATTGGTGTTCAGTTGATATCCCCTACTTTTCCCCTGGTACCGACCAAAGTCTGCTCTCTGGCATCCGTCTGGAATCGCCCTTCACGATCTTCAGCTCCTCCAGCTGTCGCAGAGCGAGAGAGCATGCTCGACTTTTCGAACCATGCGAACTCCGAAGTCGCACGGCAGAAGAAAGCCGTTATGAAGTTGCTCTTTGCTTGCCTTAGAAACGAGTACATCACGCCAGCAGGTTCAGAAAGGTGCCGTGAGAGTGAAAGAGTTTCGTCTCTTACATACAACGGTTGAGTGGGGTGGTGAGGTAGTATCTACCAATGCACGTTCCCAAAGCCCTCTCGAGCTGCCAGAAGCAGAACCAGCACCTAGTTCGCAAGAAGTTGGTAGGACACACTCCTAACAAGTACTAGTCGCTCGCAGATGTAGGTGTCTAGCTTCTGTAGTAACCACACTGCTTAGCCATTTCGGATTACATTCGGTGGTCCTAGGCTCTGCCGTGGCAACGTAGTTCGCATTCGGTTCCCTGAGAGTGGTTTGTCCAGTCTGAAAGTGCTGTGATATTCAAACAGTGCTTATCAACTGTAATTTTCGGTTCCTGTATTTGCTGTCCCTGCTATTCGCAGCTCGTGACGTAGCATTTAGAGATTAGCAGCCATTCTCCAAATAGCATCTCAAACCTTTTTTGCATCAGTACCTCCTCATTCCTCCATCCCAACGCCGTCTTTCGAGTTTCAATCTCATCACCGTTTCTTGTAGCACTAAAAGAACGGAGAGACTGGCATACGATGGGAGTGAACGACTTTCTCCCAGTCAGAACCAGTTCTGCACGCGTGGATCAGGAGGAGAAATACACTGACATAACTGACGACCTCGAAGAGCCTTACGTACGTTAGACAACATCTTTTGTCTCATACGATTCTCTCCTTTTGTCCCTTTTCTGTTGTGTCATGGTCCTTTTTTTACTGTAGCTTCTCGAATCTCATTGTAAGTACGCGTCGCACAATTTCGTCTCATTCTTTATCTTCCGCATCTCTCTGTCACCCGTCGCTCCCTTATACTCCGCCTTCCCACTCTTCGCTCTCCCACATTTCGCTCTATCGCTCTAGCTGTATCATCACCACGCTACCACGCTTCATCACCAGTTCTATTGAAGGTCGCGACGAGAGTCACAGACGCTTGTAGTACACTGTCCCCATTCACTGCACGTTTCTTCACTTTTGAGACGTCTAAAAAGCGGTTCCTGGACAGTGAATTGTGCGCAATCCATGCCCGTGCCTTTTGAATAGGCTCGCTAGTCCCGATCGACGCCCGTGCTCACTTAGGGTCTAGAAGTGCGTCGCTGAGAGGATCAAAACCATTATTTATTATAATCCTATCTTATGTACTTGACTGTCAATCTCTTTCTTTCTTTCACTCTTGCCGCCTTCATTTTCCCTCTTTCTTGTGCAGAAGAAGCAATACATGGCTGACACAGCCGGCTTTGACGCGTATGAAATGGAGCAGGCAAAGCTGCAGCATCATAAGCAGCAGAAGCGCAGTTGTTGCACGTGGCAAAACATCGCCGTAACGTGTGGTCTTCTCCTCTCCGTGTTCATGACTGCCGTGGGAATCGCCATGCTCGTTGTTGCATGTACTTATAAGCCCGAGGTGAGTTTACCAACCCTTTACGAACACTATCAAGTTACCTTTATCCCATGAAATTGTGCCGTTACATTGTATTTGATGTGACCCTGCGAGCAACAAAAAGTGCCAACTTCCCCCTCCTCCTCCCCCCCCCCTCCCCCCTCCACCCCCTCCAACATCTCTTCTGGAACATTTCTGTATATCTGCCTGTCTTATTGTCATGCTCCTATCCCTCTTTCCCCCCTCCCTCGATCCCGTCCTCCAGCCTCCCGTGATCCGGATTGAGAAGGTAGATATTGTACGGCTAAATTTCAACGGCACAGGCACCAACAGTGACCTAACCACGAGTCTTGGCGGGCTGGGAGCTACTATCGGGGATGCCCTCGGGAGGCCCTTAGGGGGAGCATTGGAGAATCTCGGGAACGATCTTGGAAGCCTGCTGGCCGACCCGACCAATTTCACCCTCAATATGAACGCACTCATTAATGTTACAGCAAACGTGTTAAATCCGAACAAATACGATATTGAAGTGAAGTACCTGGACCTGTTCATCTCACTCTTCAACATAAGCGTCTCCAATGTCTCGGTGAGTTGAACTTGCACGATTTTTGGCTCTCACTTAATAGTTTCACTGTCTAGGCTCACGGACTCAGCTCAGCTGGATATACCACTCATTTCTTTTACAACTCTTTTCAACCTTCCTCATCCTTTCCCCTCATGTCCGTGTTAATCTTGTTCAGTTGGGCGAGTTCAGATCCCCCAGCAACCAGAACATCACCATGACACTGCCCTTGAAAATTGTCAACGTGCCGCTGGTGTCTCTTGGAAAGGATAGCGTCATTGGCAACTCCCTCATGGCTCAGAAGCTCAAGATGAAGGTTAGTACGGTGCCGCCGGCTAGACTCGCCTCTATCATGGTATTTGTTTGCCGGATTTGCTCTTGACAATATGACATCTTTCCATGCAATTGATATTGTGCTACGTTGTGCTGAATTATGCTTCTTGCAGATATTGGGAGTTGCCGAAGGTAAAGCCCAGGTTTGGGCCTTCTCCTCACCAACCTACAAGGTACGCCGAGGGGTTCGGTCATATATTGGCCCTTGGCATGAATGGTTTATAAATTGGCACGTTGTTTGTGTGTTTTTGCTTTGTGCATCCAAGTCTATACTAGGTACTTAACAGCTGGATAATTGAACGTTCGCTGACCTTTTATTCTGGATGCAGGTCGGAGTAGTCTGCAATGCAACGGTGAGCCCTGCTGCAGGCAAGAATTCGGTGACAAGGGACTGTGTTAGCAAAGCCAAAAAGGTCTGAGATCATGGACACCCTGATCATTCCTGCACTGACTTCAAAAGATGCCATACTTTTTCTATGGTCAGGAACATCATAGCAGTAAGGTTATGTACAGATCACGTTTTGTACCAGTCACTCTTCGATAGCGAGCGTGTTTTAGCGGAAACACAGCTGTCATAGCAACGATGCATACATGCTGACATTTGTCGCAGACCAATAACAAACACGATACATGCTCGATTCCATGAACAGAAAGCACAGAGACAAACCAATTTCCTTCGCAATCCCATGTCGTCCGCCGTCACTTCGTTTCGATCACCGCATCAAACTAGCCCCTTCGTAGGCGTAGGTGCCACTAACCAACGGTTCGGTTCGCAGAGACGCCACGCGCCACGGTTCCCTCCACCACATCGGAAAACCACATCACAACTTTTCTGTGGATGCGGTGCGGTCAAAAGCGGTCAAGCGGATCAACCGCTGAAAACCCCATGTCACAAGCACGGCCAGCTAGCTACACCCACCTTTCCCCCAACCACTCCTCTCCCTTCTTTTCTGCCCAAACTCTTTTCTGGTTACCGCATTACCAACTAAAATCCGGGGATGAGCCCAACCACAACTCGGCGAAGCTCGGTGAGTCAAGGGCCACCGCCGAACCGCACAAACTAGCATTCCCAAGCAGGGAGCATACGTGGTTTAGTTCGATATTCGACAGCCTAGTAGGCGGTGCTTCGAGTCGCATACCTTACACCTACAGCCTCTGGCTCGCCTTTTTAAGGCTGGGAAGCGGTATAGTACGGCGGACTGTCGCTAGCCGAGATCGTGTTCAGCGCAGGGGGCTGCTTTCCGAAGCAGCTGCAAGTCTGGCACAAAGATATTACTCTGCAGGACTAGAGGAGAGAGTTTTAGCGGTAAGACCAAGGGAGAGATTACTTGTACTGAAGGACAGAATGAAATACTGTTGACGGAACTGACGAACGGCCTACTTACTCCTTTTCTTCCGAAAGAACGCGCCTTTGGAGTGAAAAGGACAAACGAATGTAGGGGAATGGCACTTCCATTATGACCCTATTCTTTCCGCAGACGTTTCATTAGAGACATAAATAAGTAGCGACTCGTCATCTGTTACTAATCCTCCGCAGCAACCAGTAGTGCCAGTCGTCTCGCCGGTTACTCCCTATCCTCGCCGATATAATTTGCCAAGCCTCGCAACAGGATGATGTTTTCCGCAAAGATGGCGGACGAGTCGCCATTAGCGAAACAGGCGTCGGGCCGCTCGGATTACTCGACAGACGCTGACGCGGACTCAGCGTACGAAGCCGACGTGGAGGCCGCTGCTGACGTGGACTCTATGGTGCATAATCGACGGGCTTCCCACCGCGACTCGGACTCGAACTCCACTGGCCTCTCCGACGCGGATTTCGACCTCCCCGACTCGGACCGTGACGCGCTCGCGTCGCCCTCCCCCGCCGCAGAAGCCGCCACGGAAGCCGCCGCGGCGAAGGCGAAGGCGATGGAGGGCGATTCGGAGCTGAGCGAAGAGGGGGGGGAAGGGGGGAAGGGGAAGGGCGAGGGCGCGGGGAAGGGGAAGGGCACGGGGAAGGGGAAGCGGGGAAGGAGGTGCGGGAAATGGGAGATCATTTGCTGGGTGGGGATTGGCGCTGGGGTGGTCATGACGGGGATTGGACTCACAATGCTTGTCTTCTTCCTCTCGCTCACCCAACAGGTAATGATGACGTGTCAAGTCCCTGCATCCTTACAACCATTGCACATGTGTAACACACACTCCGAGTGGGCCTGCCACGCTCTGATGCACCCACACGTCCATACAAAACAAACACCAAATTTCTCCAGCTTTCCCTCTCTCCCCCTCTCCCCTTCTTTCCCTTCTCCCCCCGCCACCCTCCCCCTCTGTACAGGAACCAGTTTTGACTGTAGAGGGCGTTGATATAGTCCGCCTGAGCATCTCAATCCCTTCCCAAACCATCAAGATGCCGAACCTAGACCCCAGCATGGTCACCGTCCCGAACCTCGGAGGCTCAGTTCCCAGCCTTGGCAGCGTGCCGAACCTCGACATTCCGAACCTGGACCTGTCGAACCTAGACCTGAAGAACCCCAACAGCCTCGGGAAGACCCTTCAGGACCGGCTTTCCAATTTTGGAAAAGAGGTTTCTGAACTCGGAAAGAATGTTAGTCAAATCGGCAAGAATGTGACTCAAGAGGTTTCTAAAGCTGGGAGGAACGTTTCTAGGGAGGTCTCTAAAGACCTGTCGCGGATCGGGGGCGAGATTCAAAGGGCGATTCAGAACAATTTTGAAGGGTTGCGGGTAGATTTGAATGCGCATGTTAACGTGACTGCGAGCGTTTACAATCCGAACAGCTTCGACGGGATCGTCAATTTCATGAACATGGGTATCTACCTGTTTGGCATCCATGTCTCAAATATCTCGGTACGTGTTTGTTTTTTGTTTTTTGTTTTTGTTTTTTATTTTCCTATACTTTTTGTTGTATGTTGCTCTGCCGTATCAATTCGACTGTAGCTGCTACTGCTACTGTAGCTTCCATGCAATCACATGACTGCTGCATTCTTTAGCATCACCTCTTGTTCCCCCATGCCCCCTCCGCCTCCCCTGCCAGATGCCAGCGTTCGAACTGGGCAAGAAGCAGACAAAAATCGCCACCGTGCCAATCGTGGTGAAGAGCTTCCCACTGCTCTCCACGTCCTCCTCAGTGCAAGTCAGGAGCCCCATCGCTTCTGCTCTGAGGGAGCGCAAAATTAAGATGCAGGTACAAGCCCACTTGCCCACTGCTCGATCTATGTACGCCCACATTCAGAAGCCTCAGAACCATGAGTTGCTGCAAGAGCGGATAATAAAAATGCAGGTGAGAGAGGCGGAAATTTCCACATCCCCTCGCTCTCTTCATTCATCCCTTATTCATCTCCTCCCTTTTCTGCATCAGACATTGATCAACACACAGGGCAAAGTGAGGGTGTGTGGAGTCGTCTCATTCCTCCATCATACACTGCCTCATCTCCTCTTCTAAACCATTCCCGAGTTCCTTACCTAATCCCCTCTCCTTCGCTTTTCTGCATCAGACCTTTATCAACACACAAGGCAAAGTGAGGGTGTGGTGTGGGTAACATCCTCATCCCCTCCCTCATCTTTTCCCTTATCCTCTCCCTCGTCCCTACTTCTAAACCATTCCCGAATTCCCTTCCTGATCCCCTCTCTGATTTCTCCCGCTTTTTCTGCATCAGACTTTTATCAACACACAGGGCAAAGTGAGGGTATGGGGAATCACCTCTCCCACTTACAATGTGAGTACTTCAGGATACACAGGAAGTGAAGTGCAGTGATTAATAGGGTGAGAGCAGTGAAAGTGTGTGAGATGTAAGAGATAGTGCACAAAAGATGTACGTTGTACAACCTCGTTTTGTATGCAGCAAAGTCGTGTGGAAGGAAGGCATGCGCATTATATGTCTTCACACATATTTCACACGATTTTCCCTCTATTCAATGCTGTGTTACAGGTCACCGTGATGTGTGTCATGACGGTGGACCCCAGTGCGGATGTGATGACCAAGAAGGAATGTGGAGCCAAGCCTACACAAGTGTAGTTTATTTATTTAGTGTATTCAGTTGTAGTGAGTGAGGGCCCCCATATGATAAGATGTGTTTTCCTTTGCGTGTGCTGTTTGAGGAGGCTGTATTACTATGGCTGAAGCTGCACCCGTCTGTTTTTGTCACATCAAATTGCTGCCGCTTGAGTTGAAATGATACACTGCATAGTAAAGGATGGTGCTGATGAAACCAAGCCTTCAAATTGTTTTGAATCACTATCAAGTGAACTGTGTACAGTCCTATGATAAGTCGCTGAGAACCGACTTCTGGGCGATCCGATTCGCCATCGCAGAAATGGTCGCAATAGTCGTCGAAGATTGTGGCATTCGGCCACACCGCGGTCGTAGGATTTCAAGCCGTCACCTGATGGAATGCGACCAGCCATGTCGCCCCAACAACCCATCCAGCCAATCAGAAAGAACACGTTGGCTCGCGACACGATTCGTCGCTGCTGATTGGCAGCCAGTTGCCGAAATGAGCCGAACCATCTGTCCTTCAGGTTGGAAAACGTTTTCTCATTTACAGTACAGAGAGAGTTCTTCCCTCTCCCTCTTACCAAAGTGCTTTTCTAAAATTACAACTTTGCAGTATAGCCGTGCGTCAATCATTCCGCTTAGCACAAAACCCGGCTTGTTAGTGTGAGCGACAAAATGTCCACCTCACCCCACGTTCGTCTGCTACAGCACACAAGTCTCCGAGCCACCGACATAAAAGACGCGTGAACTATTTCCAGGGTGAAATAGAGACGTAGGACACACAACTGTAGTTAGTCCCTATCGCCACGTTTTAGTACGGTCGCTCCGCGCCACGAAAAGGTAGCTGGTTCAGTACGTCACTTCCTCGGGCTATAAACGCATTCGTCACTCCTTGCTTCAGCTGCTGCTGGATTTAGCGAATGTCGATCCTCGCGTTGCTCGATTTAGCGTTGGGAAGGCTCTGAAATATTTTCGGATAACCTTACGCGTCTGCTAGTTGTTAATGTCAGACACTCCTTCTTGGACAGAATAGTGGGGCGTAGTCTACTGACAAGTGGCACGTGAACCGTCACTCGCGACTGACACGTGGCGCTGATGGCGCCGTGTTCTGAGCGACCATCTACGTGGGAGGACGTGGAAGCGGGACAGGGGAACCTCGTTACTGCCACGGTGGAGGGAGAACGAGCTGACGTGGGCAACCAGAAGGCACTCGTACGTGTTCCCACAACAGACGCCAACGCCTCCCGCCCCCTTTTCACCCTCACTCCCCACATCCTCCCCGTTCCCCCTCCTCACCCCCCTCACCTTTTTTCTCCGCGGTTCGGCATCCCTAGACGGCTACCGTTGGAATGTCCTCCGCGGCGCTATTTTCGAAGCGCATTCCCCTCGAACCCCGTACGATGCGGTGCCGTCATTCCAAACCATCGCAGCCGTTGGTTTCGCATCAAATCGACAGACAGGCGCCCTAACGACGACCCGGCGGTTGTCGGAATTTGGAATGCACCGCCTGGTTACCACCATCACTCGAACGCTACGGGTTTCCGGATGCCGCAACATCCGAGCCTCTAGGTGGCATTACTTCCCCAAGCGCCTCAAAATCTCAGGTTTTGAGGCGCGGGGACTCTTCCGCTCACCCCGCTCTTCCGCTCCCCCCCGCGGCTTTTGACCAAATTTTGAAGCGGCTCAAGAGAATCTCCCCTCGTCCCATCCTTCCCCGAATTCCCCTTCCCCAGTCAGCCGAACAGCCAACCTTCCTGCGCCTATCGGAAATTGTGGCGGAAAGCGCGCAGGAGGCGCGCATTTCTAGCGGGAGGGACGGCGCTCGGCCTCCTCACTCTCCTCCCGTCCTGCCCTTTCTTTTCCCCCCAACCAGTCAGCCGAGCAGGCAATCTTCCTGCGCCTATCGGAAATCGAAGAGGATGAGAGGCGGAAGGAGCGCAAGAGGCGCGCGCTGCTAGCGGGGGGAGCTGCGCTCATCCTCCTCGCTCTCCTCATAGCAGCAGCGGTCGCGATCGGCGTGACAGCTAGCAAGAAAAAGTGCCAGGATTCCGCGGACCAATCCAGCAACGCCACGTCAGCAGGCGCGATGCTGACTCAGCAGCAGCAGGAGCAGCAGCAGGGGGAGTTGGTAGGGACGGTGCAGATCGGGGGAAGGTGGGGGAATGTGAGCACTGTTGTTGCGAAGCTTGACATTCAACCCAACACCAACGGCGTTATCTCAGCAAACGGAGGAGGCGCCACCTCATCATGGGACGCTGCCACGTGGCAGCAGCCTGGGGGTGCAGTGGAGGACACGTCAGCAGTGCAGCAGCTGGCGAATCCAGAGCTGACACCTGTCGATGGACGAGTGTATGGCATGGGAGTGGAGAGCGGGACCACCACTGATCCGTATGACTACATAGCAGACTCCCCACCACCGCCATCACCACCAGCAGCGTCACCCCCACCACCACCACCAGAAGCACCAGCATCGCCACCACCGTCACCACCAGCAGCACCCCAGACGCCACCAGAAGCCCCAGCCGCAAATTCGAACTCCTCGGGACCTACGGATATCCTAAGCCGGATTGCAGCGCTTATCAAGGTAGGCGAAGACGGTTATCAAGGTAATCCTTTCGTGCTTCTGACGTCAGGACAGGAGCACATCCCTGCCTGCCTGACTAAGGTAGACAGGACCCTGCCGCCACTATCAGGCCTGGATTGAGACGTCTCAAAACACGCCGCTATCAGGCCTGGACTCCTGGAGCTTCAGCCTCTAGCCGTTCAAGGAAATTCAAATTCCTTCTTGTTGCCCTAGTGTCGACTCCCTAACGTGCCTCATTCTTCCTTCTTCCCGAACCTCGTTTCTCACCAGCCTCCGGACCTGTCAGTGCAAGGGGTGGACTTCCAAAACGGCCACCTGTCCGTTTCAGGCCCCGATTCGTGGAGCTTTAGCCTCGAGCCGTTCAAGGAGGTCAGCCTGGATCTGACCGCGCTGATCAACGTCGCGGCGGTGGTGTCGAATCCGAATCCCATCGAAATCATCGCGCAGGAGGTCAACATGGACGTCAGCTTCTACAGCGTCGACGTCGGCTACGCTAACGTGAGATTCGAATGTACAAATATACAACAAATGTACAACAAATATACAAATATACAATGTTACATGTACTGGAATTAGAGTTTTCCTAGCCTTTTCCTCCACAAGTCCAGCTCCTGCCAACCAACCCCACACGCCCTTGCTCCTTGCCATGCCATGTGCATGTCCATGTCTACGTGCAGATCCCAGACTTCACTCTCCCTGCCAACAGCAGCGCCACCATCACAGTCCCGTTCAACATTGACAACACTTCCCGCTGCTCTCCTTTTCCTACTCCACATGCCCGCGCCCCGTGCTGTTCACATGCAGATCCCCGACTTCTCTCAGTTGCAAACAGCCTCTGTGAAGATTGGTGATTTTGGCTGGCACCTTAATTCTCCTCATTCACACATTCACTTCCCATGCCATATGTATTTACCTGCAGATCCCGAACTTCACTCTCCCTGCTAACAGCAGCGCCACCATCACAGTCCCGTTCAACGTTGACAACTTCCCGCTGCTCTCCTTTTCCGATCAGAGCCTTATCACGGGCTCGATTGCGAATGGCGAGCTTGAGTTTCAGGTGTGTGTAAGGGCTGGGTAAATGCTGGAAGGTACACTCAGGCAATAGGGCACTTTCAGCTGCTAATCTTCCCTGACCAGAGCCTTATCTCAGGCTCGCAGGCTCGGGCAATCGGGTTGAATGTCAAGCCTGACCAGAGCCTGCTCGGGCAATTGGGTTGAATGTCAAGCCTGACCAGAGCCTTATCTCAGGCCCGCAGACTCGGGCAATTGGGTTGAATGTCAAGCCTGACCAGAGCCTTATCTCAGGCTCGCAAATGGCGAGCTTCAACTCTACTTTAGGTGGGTGAGGGAACAAACACTCCACCGTACCAGTGGGTGCATTACCTTTGAAGGTTGGCTGCTAAATGCCTTTTTCACACAAAAATTTCACTCCGATTCTTGTGCGTATGCATTTTCAGTGTGTGATATCCATCTCACGCACTTTTGCCAAACAAGTACTTTTCTTTTTCTTCTTATCTGATTCGGGAATGTCCTGCAGGTTGTGATTAATCTGAAGGCCAGGACTCGGATCCTTCAGAGCCTCACACCAGCTTTCAATGTAAGCACACAAAACCATGGATGTAACACATTAATGCACCACTATACAGACAGGCACACAGCACCATGCACACACCCGCATGCACATACCACTATAAACACACAATAATGCACACACCACCGTGCACACACTCCTTATGTCGACAAATTTTGTGCATCTACCTAATCCTTACATTCCTTCTCGTCTCCTGTCTTGTATTCCTCTTTGTTTCTTCTTTTTCACATGCCAGGTTCAGTTGGTGTGTAACGCCGTGGTCAACCCTACACAAAATAGTGTGCTTTCCAATTCATGTAGCACAAATATTGCCACGTAACAAGCTTACAATGACTCATTCCGATCTGTGGCTTGTAGTAGCGAGTAACGACTCGTTACAAGCAGGGGCTTGTAGTAAAAAGCCATGGGCGACACCTCAAGAAGGCAATTGCTTGTTGCCATCTCGGTTTGGGTGAACAAGACGGTATGCCGTGCCATGCTCGTGCCAGGTGCACATTTGATTTCATTTCTTCTGGTGTGCTGTTTGCATTCATTTATGGTTGCGATGTAAGGTTGCTCTCATTGAAATGTAACAGGCTTGAACATTGGTATTTCTATTCGATGTGTCTCCACCGCTAAACAATCGGATGCCCACCTTGATGTTCAGATTTTCTTAGTGGTGTGGTCATACCATATCTACAAATGTACAGGAATTACACACTAGGTCCAGAAACTTAGGCCATCATACCGTAAGCTTCGATACTGGAATGTCAGACGATGCACTGTAGTACTGTTCTAAGGTAATGTGCCTGGGTCCACCAAAGCCGTTAATGAGGAAGACATTAGCGAGGACAAGCTTGAAAACGTGAAAGTTGTGGTCCTTGGGCCAAGCTGTGAGAGGGGAGAGAGAGAAGCGGAGAGAATATTAATGACCTTAATCCAAGTCACTGGAAGAATTACGGAAGCCATGTAACCTGGAAAAGGGAGAGTAACATGGGGTTCGTGGGGGGAGGAAGAGGATGGGAGTGGGCGAGAGTGAATCAGCTGGAAAGAAAAGCCTTACTCTGCATCTCGGGGTGTCGAGTGAAGAGGGCGTGTTCGGCGAATGAAAGCTCTTCGGGGTCGAGCACTCGGTGCAGCTGAACAGACGAGAGGACCGGGGGGTTGACATGGCGATGGAAAAGCGGGGGAGGGGATTGACATGAGTGAATGTGTCGAGATAAGGGATTGTGTTCGGCGAATGAGGGCTCTTCGGGGTCGAGCATTCGATGCAGCTGAACAGAGGAGAGGGGAGGTTGACATGGAGATTGTTGGAGGTTGGTTCGCCAAACCACCCGCAGGTGAACGAAGCGACCACGAGAGAGATGGGGTAGTGGGGCGAGGGATTGACATGGGGAGGGGGTAGTGGGGCGAGGGGCTGACATGGGGATTGAATGAGGTGCATTGAGAGGGCTTTCAACGTGTGAGTATACCAGTCAGTTGACGAGTACCGAGTCAGGAGAATGCGAGCACTTACATGTTGGGCACTTCGACTGAAACACCTTTTGACCTAACCCACCCCACATACACTCCACGCCACGCCATTTCACGCAGCCACCCCACCATCTCACACCTCTCCCGAAAGGGTCAGCTTGGCACAGACTGGGCTTTCCGGGTCCGCGTCACCGCAAGTTCCAAGAGGCATGGCGCTGACAGCCAATGAGGCGCGAGGATCGGCTGCCACGTCAGCAGCAGACGGATCCAACGGTGTGAGATAGAAGTAGGGCGTCCCTGGGGGAAAAAGAGACAGGAGAAAAGAATCATGCAAGGCAAAGCGAAAGGCGTGCAAAGCAGGGTGTGGGGGGGGTATGATTGTAACAACCCTTGAGCGGGGGGATGATGGAAACAACCCGTAGCGGGGGGATGATTGAAACAACCTGTAGGGGGGGGGGATGATTGAAACAACCCATAGGGGGGGGTGATTGAAACAACCCGTAGGGTTTGAGAAATGATTGCGTTTAGTAACAAGCTAAAGCTGCAGCAACTGCATGGGGAGTGAGTGGCAGGGGGGGGATACAAACACCGCCAACTAGCAAGTGGGGAGTGAGTACAAACATGCACTTCGACGGTGAGAATGCGGTGTAGTTACAAACCTCTGCTACCATGGTGTTTAAACAGCATACCTGTTTTTTAAGAGCCTGAAGTTGCCGTTAACTCCATCACTGAGAGGACTTTTGAGGCACCAATCGCCTCAAGAGGCGCCTCCATTAGAGAAGCCAAAGGAAGCACACCTGTGTATTTGCCAAGAGCTCCATCACTGAAGGAAACCACCTGAGCTTCCTTGGTGCTCAGGCACACCTGTGCAGATCTATTTTTTAGGAGCATACAAAACACACCTGTGTTGTTGCCGAGAGCTCCATCACTGAAGGAAACCACGTTGCTGAAACGACAGGAACCACCATGGGAAGGAATACAGTACAGACTGAGGAGCTGGTTTGAGTTATAGAAAACAAAGAGGGAGAGTTCTTGGTAATTGTCAAGGAGAATACCCTTGTTTAGAGACATGAACGATAAAGATTTGTTTATCGTCTTAAAATGCAAGAAACTGCTTACCCAAATGGTGAGCCGTCTAGGTGTCGAGAAATGGTGCTGCACACCAGATTTTGAAGGAAATAATGAAATTGAGAATGAAATTAGAGCACACAACAAATAAGAAGTTCTTTTTGGGGGGGGGGAGGGGGGGAGGTGGGGGAAGGGGGTGGGGAGGGAGGGGGGAAGGTGGGGGAAGGGGGTGGGGGGGGGGAGGGGAGAGATAGAACAAAACCTTCTGAATTAACTCTCAGACTGTCACAATAACCTCTTTGCCTTAAATATTCTGTTGCTCGGAATCTCTGAGGGAAATAACCGGCAAATCTCCTCCTACAAAAGGCTTCCTGTAAAGGAGCAAACCGTGCTAGTATTTCCCGTGTGACAAGAATCTCCAGCAGCAATCTCTCTTCTCTGCAGTCCAATTCCTAAACATCTACATGATTCCCGCAAATCTAGTACTCCCCACGTGCTTAGCACCCGTTTTTTTAGCCCCCAAACGCTTCCCCCGTAATTTGCGCATCAAGATTTATCCCCGTGTTTTCCCACCAACCTACCTGAGCACTCCCCAAGTGCTGCGCGCAACCAACCATCGCGCAAATCCCGCCGGATCAGTCCCACCGCGGCTCGATGTTCCCGTCAGCTGATCTCCGACTCGGTTATGAACACCCTTTCCATGGGGAACCCTATCGTGACGACGCGACGTGTCGCCAGGCGTTGCAACTTGACGAAAATTCTTGCCTCGAAGAAGGTTACTCCAACCAGTAGAATATGCTGCAGAACTGGCGGAAGCAAGAGGTAATGCAGCGACCAGCACAATTATGATAAAAATAAACCTCGTGGAAAATCGAGTTCTGAGAGGCAAGCCGGACATCGTTATAGATTTATGCCCCGTGGAATTCGGACAATTTCCTGCGCTGCAAATTCTCCGCGAATGGCGGCTATATTCCTGCTCCGTGAAATCTGCTGCTGTTATGCTTGTTGACGTTTTGCTTCAGGGAAGTAGGGGGGTGTGAGAAAACATACTCGTTTTTGGACGACCTCGTAGTCGTTGTTGTAGAAACAACAAATACACCTGAGCAATCTCTTGACTCTTATCGCAAGAAACTCGCACTCTGGTTTGGAGTCGTATCGCACACATGCCCCCCCGACCACCCTCCCCAGAACCAATTTTCCCTCCCCAGCTACCCAACCTTTTCCCCCATTCCCCATGGTCCCGCCCGCACTCATCCCTCCCCTCGCCCAGGTTTCCCGCCGCCACACTTCTGCCCAAACCAACAACGGACCGCAACAGGTTTCTTTCACCTCACGTTCAACAGTTTCGAACGGTGCGTTGGAACTTTTAGAGTTTCCACCTTCTTAGAACGTACTGAACCGCACTGAACGGTCAGGGTTGAACTATGGATGGAATGGAACTCCTCTCTATAGGACTGTAGCACTGTTATGTTGGCTTGACCAACTTAGTTGGCTAGCAATAAGTTTTTTTATCTGTACTTTGTTCGTAATCCTTCTCTCGCCGGAATCTTGCATAAGTTTTGCAGGCTTCTTGCCGTAAGTAACTCTAGCCTTCACGACGTACGTCTAGGTTTACCTCCCGAGATGCCGTCCAGGTCGCCGTCTCCGCGCAGGCGGAGCCGCAGCCGCAGCCCTATCCGCAGTCCCGTCAAGCGGCGAAGCCCTAGTCGCAGCCCGGTGCGGGGACGCAGCCGGAGCCCGATTCGCCGGCGCAGCCGAAGCCCCGTCAGGAGTCCCGTTAGAAGCAGAAGTCGCAGTCCTTATAGGCGTCGGTCCAGGAGTCCTATAAGGGGGCGGAGCCGGAGTCCGCCGTTCAGACGCGCGAGCCCCCGGATGCGAAGCCCTCGGCCAAGGAGTCCAGAACCAGAGTGCGCCGCATAGGGACATCCTCGCATTCGTTATTATCACGGTCACACGTCGCCTTCTTTTCTCCGTTCGTTACAACCTCGTTGACTGTCGCAGCCTTTTTGCAAATTCTAGTTTACGAGCAATCTTCGCCTTGAGAAACCTTCGGATTTGCCTATTCTTATTGTATTTTGATACATTTTCTCCTTCATTTCGTACCTGTTTGTTTTCAGCGACGAGTCGAGGAACCCTGGAAACAACCTCTACGTGACCGGCCTATCGATGCGGACGGCAGAGGCGGAGCTGGAGAAGCATTTCTCCAAGGAAGGCAAGGTATTACCCATGCTTGATGCAAGCTTGCCTTCTAATATTTTACTTGTATCTTCGACTTATGACCGTTTTTTTTTGCCATTTCTCTCCCTTTTCACCTGACTTACGTGACAGTATCTTCATTTTGTTACGCTCACCTCTTGATTTCCGACTTCCAACCTCGCTTCTTGGAATATTGACAACCTACGCTCTTCTTTCGTTGTTGTTATTATTGTTTTTCTCTTTCTTTCCACGTGTTCCGCCTTTCGCAGGTAGCGGAGTGCAGGCTCGTGCTGGACCCGCACACCAGGGAGTCGCGCGGCTTACGACCAATTCTCTGCCGTTTCCCTCCCTTTTCACCTGACTTCCGCAGGTTGCGGAGTGCAGGCTCGTGCTGGATCCGCGCACCAAGGAGTCGCGCGGCTTCGCATTCGTCACCATGGAGAACGTCGACGACGCGCGGCGATGCCTCAAGTACCTCGACCGCTCCATCCTCGAGGGTCGCGTCATCACCGTCGCGCTCGTACGTTCGTCGCCGATTTCCGAAACTCTGTTCATATTCCCGTTTTTCGCCACCCCTGTGTGTTCTTTCTATGGTTGAATACCGCTGCTGGTTTTACTGAACGTCTGAGTGCTGGTTCACGTTTTTTGCCAGTTGTCTGTGAGGTTGACGCTTCTCGTCCTCCCTCTCTCCTCTCTCTACCATCTCCGCTCTCTCCCGTCTGCCTACCCAGCGTGGGTTAGACCAATTCTGCTCCGCCACGCATCCCCTATTCGTCTCCCACAATCAAAGCCCCTTCGCGGCCTCGACATTAGCGGCCTCGAATCTAGCCGCATCGACATAGCGCCAACCAATCTTGAAACACTTGCAATCTATACGCTACGCCAACCAACCCCAACAATTGTTCCTGCACCAACGAACGCGATTGGCATGCACCACACCAACACTGCAAGCGGCCAATACTGCTGCACTGCAAGCATTCCCCATTTCGGCGTCAATTTCTTCTGCTTCGATTTAAGATTCTGCCTCGATTTCGCGCTGATCGAGTCTGCTCGGCGTCGAGCGATCGATGTAGCGGCTGCATATCACATTCTGCTTCAACCCCAGCCCCAATACTTATTGTTCGCCTCCCAAACAGCATCTTCGACTCCGATTCAAGATTTGCGCTACTGGTGGTGTTATTGCTTCATCTCTCCCCCTTTCCCTATAGCATCGCTACTGGTGGTGTTATTTGAGTCTCTGTGTCCGGTTTCCTTCCCTTTAAATGTCTGCAGTCCATTTTGCATTGCAAATCAGTGTTGGTTAATTAGAGTAAGTATCCATATGCCCCAAGTGGGATTAGTAGTGGGTGTTTCAAACACATCTTTGTCATTCCCCGAGTTTCCAACAGGCAAAGAGGAAGCGGGCCCGAACCCCGACTCCTGGCAAGTTCTTGGGCACTCGTAGCCTGAAGGAGTCTGTTGTGGTTGGCGGCGGTGAGTTCAGGCTCTTGTTAATGATTTGTTTGAGCAGTGAAAGTATCTGTCTTGCCTCTTGTTCTTCTTTCCTTTCTTTCGTCCTTGCTGTTTTGTCATTCTTTCTTTCTTTTCTTTTTGAGTACGGCTCAAATGTTCGCAAGTAATTTGTCTTGCTGGCCAATTCTGCTTGCCATTCTGTTTACTTGTATTGACAGACCGCGGTTATGGTGGTGACAGGGAGTTCAATCCTCGCCGATCATCACCAGACTACCAGCCCTACCGCCGAGACAGATCACCGGATTACGGTCCCTATCGTGGAGCAGGTTACAGGTACGGTGACATAACTTCAGCATGTGTTACAATTTTGCCCGCAATCTTTGCTGGAAGCTGTAGGTTTAGTATCTTTTGGCAGAATTGTGGCTTGCATTTTTCACATGTTGAACCTATGGGACATGATGGGACCGTGTTCTTACCCACCAGCCCCAAACTCCTGCTTCCTCTTTGTTCTCCAGGTAAAATATATCGTGTCCAAGATGCAGTGAGGACAACTGACAGACTAGTTTGCTTCTACTGTATGCTAATTGACTCGGCTGTAATTCATATTGTGATTTTGCTGAATAGGGTGGTTCACATGTACTGGCTTGCATTGCGTGTACCTTGATTTTTTTAGACTCAAGAGAAACTTCAGGACATGACAGGCAATTTCTCCAATCGCGAATCTGTACTATTGCAGTCAGTCTGATGATGTGCGACTTCTGTCAGTTCGCCACCCAATCACGGCGCAGTCGAATGCCTTGTTTCTTGGCGGGAAAAGCGGCATACTTGAGTTCAGCACTATTCAGTTCGAACAAACCAGAATCTAGGAAATAGCAAGATTAGCAGACGGCACACCACCAGTAACAGTGAGCTCCTGTATTAGTCCGAAAGTACCCAGGAAACCAAGGACGCTTCAGTTCTACTGTCGCTGACGCACTACGGTTGTTTAGTTCAGATATTACTAACTTAGCTAACCGCGTGTACCCTCCCGCGAATTTTGCTTTCTTTCTTTCTTTTGTTAGGCCTCCGTTTCCCACCGTTTTCCACTTGTCGGCTCGCTTCATAAAGCATCGCATCTGCGTATTTAGAATAATGGCTCGTCGGAAGCCGTTTCGAAATGCGATTCCGGATGTCGCGGTAGCTCTGTTCGTCGCGTGTCTAGCCGCTGCTGTCTCCCACGTGGATGCGATATCCAGTGACGCGCAAGTCGAAGAGAGGCTCATAGGATGGAAGGGGGAAAGGTGGGTGTAGCTGTTGCTGACGTGTATATTGCTATTGGGATGATCAAGATTGCCTCTGGTAGCCTGTCGCGTCTCCCTTTCTGCAGGCTTATCCCGTCGACTCCTTTTGCCTTTTCACCAGTTAGCTTTGATTCAAGTGGTAATGTCGATCCATTTCAGCAGCAATTAATAGAACTCAATTCATTTCATGTATAGGACTCACCTCGTCTCCACATTTGTATCCGTTTGCAATGCTCTCCATCCCTCTGTATCTCCTCGTGTCGTTCGTGCTGTTAGCGTTTCGCCAAGCTGCCTCAACTCAACCAGTGAATCCAATCCATCTCAGCTGCAATGGATATACCTCATCTCATAAGAGCCCGGAATTTCTTTCACAACCGTATTCAATTGCACCGCTTCCTATCCCTCCGCTCGTGTCCATAAAGCACTTAGCGTTCCTCCAAGCAGGTTAAACTCAGCCAGTGAAGACGATCCATCTCAGCTCATCTCGTGGGAGCCCAGGGCCTTCTTCTTCATCACTTTGCACCTCTTTGTATTCCTTCGCATCCATCTTCATACCTTAGCATCCATTTGTGCCCCTTACGTGTCCCCACACAGCTACAGCTCATCCAGTGAAGACGATCCATCCCAGCGCCAATGGATAGAGCTCATCTCGTGGGAGCCCAGGGCCTTCCTCTTCATCACTTTGTATGAAGATGCGTCCATTTGTGCCCCTTTTGTTCCCCTATGCAGTTTCAACTCAACCAGGGAAGATGATCCATCCCAACGACAATGGATAGAGCTCATTTCGTGGGAGCCCAGTTGTCATATGTATCCGTTTGCACCGCTTTCTATCAACTTGTATCCCCTCTTGTCCCTTTGTTCTCCATGCGTCCCTCAGCTTCAACTCAACCAGGGAGGACGATCCATCCCAGCGACAATGGATAGAGCTCATCTCGTGGGAGCCCCGGGCCTTCCTCTTCCACAATTTCCTGGTAGGTTTATTTAAAAGTTCTTTTTGTATCGGTATCAGTGTCTTTCAAACCCGCCCTGGGCCTTCCTCTTCCACAATTTCCTAATAGGTTTATTTAAGAGTTCTTTTTGTATCGGTATCAGTGTCTTTCAAACCCGCCTTGGGCCTTCCACTTCCACAATTTCCTGGCAGGTTTGTTTAAGAGTCCCGTTTTGTATATGTTTTTTGTGTCACCTTCAAAACGGCCTAGCGCCTTTTCCTTGTAGGCTGTTGTATCAATTTTTCTTTGTAACAACATTTTAGGTGTCTCAATCATGAAGTGAGACGACAATACCCAATGATTTAATTGAGCTCATCTCATGGGAACCTAGGTCCTTTTACTGTTCCTTCCCATCCACCACACTTGTTACAGACCACCAAGGAGTGCTTGTAACGGATTCACAAGCCAGCTTCCAAATGGTCAAGTCAACTGTCAGTCATTCCTCTCCATGTCAATCCTTTCCCGTTCATTCTCATCCGTACCCATCCGTACCACCACAGACTGCCAAGGAGTGCCTGTATCTGATTCACAAAGCAGCGCCCAACATGGTCAAGTCAACTGTAGTGGACAGCGACTCAGGCGGCTCCTACAGCAGCAAGTGAGTCTTCTAATAAGTTAGTAACGAGTACGGGCAGGGATCAGTCTTGTGAAATTGGTGCTGCGAATGGAGATAACAAGAAAACGTGACTTTGTTAACCCATGGAGCGCTGTCAGGATTTAAACGTCGAGCTTCTCAACAATGAACATTTGTATGCTTCTTTCTTTATCCCTGTTCAAGTTAAGCGAACTCTACAGTGTTATGTACCACTGTATTTGTCAATATGTATCTGCAGTTGCGCTGGTGGTGTCTGTCGTGGAAGGATCCGGACGAGCTCGAAATCGTTTCTTTTGCGGTAATCAGACGAGATGGTGACTCACATAGAGACAGGAACAGGCGGTCTCACTCGTTTGTGTCTGTGAGTGCAATGCTTGTTTGTTGTGCCAGGATCCGGACAAGCTCAGGGTCGTTTCTGTCACGGGGATCGGACGAGGTGGTGGCTTCGATAGAGAAGAGAATATCCGACTTCTCGCACCTGCCTGTGGGTGAGTAGCTGGCTAGGTGGAATAGAGGAGGGGGAAGGGGGAGGGGTACGGACCACACCATGCGGTGCTGCCGGGTCGTTTGGGTCGGGGGATCGGACGAGGTGGTGGCATCAATTGAGAAGAGAATATCGGACTACTCGCACCTGCCTGTGGGTGAGTCACTACCCAGCTGAGATCGTTTAGCGGGTGCTCTCAGGAGTACCAGGCGCACTTTGACTCACAACCCACCCGCCCCTCATGCCCTCCCGTTATTCCCTTCTCCTCCCTTTCACCCATCGGAGCACAGGGAGACCATCCATGTGTTGCACTCCGATCCGTCCCAGGAGTACCACGCGCACTGTGACTCACAACCCGCCCGCACCACCTCTTCCCCTCATTCCCACTCATATCATACTTCCTCTCCCTTTCCCCATCGGAGCACGGGGAGACCATCCATGTGTTGCACTCCAAGCCTTCCCAGGAGTAGAGAGGCCGGTAGGGCTTGGAGTACCAGGCTCACGTTGCGGTTGTTTATCCCTCTGTTACCACCCCCTCCCGTCCTCTCTTCTCCCCCCACCCCACCAGACCACAGGGAGGCCATTCACGTGTTGCACTATCCCAGGAGTACCTACCAGGCGCAATTTGACCCACAACCCACCTGCACCTTCTGTCTTCCCCTCCCTTCCACATCTCCTCAGACCACGGGGAGGCCATTCACGTGTTGCACTATGAAGCCTCCCAGGAGTACCTACCAGGCGCAATTTGACCCACAACCCGCCCGCCCCTCATGCGCTCCCCTATGCCCTCCCCTCCCTTTCACCCCACCAGACCACGGGGAGGCCATGCACGTCGTACACTATGAAGCCTCCCAGGAGTACCTACCAGGCGCACTTTGACCCACAACCCACCTGCACCTTCTGTCTTCCCCTCCCTTCCACATCTCCTCAGACCACGGGGAGGCCATTCACGTGTTGCACTATGAAGCCTCCCAGGAGTACCTACCAGGCGCAATTTGACCCACAACCCGCCCGCCCCTCATGCGCTCCCCTATGCCCTCCCCTCCCTTTCACCCCACCAGACCACGGGGAGGCCATGCACGTCTTACACTATGAAGCCTCCCAGGAGTACCTACCAGGCGCAATTTGACCCACAACCCACCTGCACCTTCTGTCTTCCCCTCCCTTCCACATCTCCTCAGACCACGGGGAGGCCATTCACGTGTTGCACTATGAAGCCTCCCAGGAGTACCTACCAGGCGCAATTTGACCCACAACCCGCCCGCCCCTCATGCGCTCCCCTATGCCCTCCCCTCCCTTTCACCCCACCAGACCACGGGGAGGCCATGCACGTCTTACACTATGAAGCCTCCCAGGAGTACCTACCAGGCGCACTTTGACCCACAACCCACCTGCACCTTCTGTCTTCCCCTCCCTTCCACATCTCCTCAGACCACGGGGAGGCCATTCACGTGTTGCACTATGAAGCCTCCCAGGAGTACCTACCAGGCGCAATTTGACCCACAACCCGCCCGCCCCTCATGCGCTCCCCTATGCCCTCCCCTCCCTTTCACCCCACCAGACCACGGGGAGGCCATGCACGTCGTACACTATGAAGCCTCCCAGGAGTACCTACCAGGCGCACTTTGACCCACAACCCACCTGCACCTTCTGTCTTCCCCTCCCTTCCACATCTCCTCAGACCACGGGGAGGCCATTCACGTGTTGCACTATGAAGCCTCCCAGGAGTACCTACCAGGCGCAATTTGACCCACAACCCGCCCGCCCCTCATGCGCTCCCCTATGCCCTCCCCTCCCTTTCACCCCACCAGACCACGGGGAGGCCATGCACGTCTTACACTATGAAGCCTCCCAGGAGTACCTACCAGGCGCAATTTGACCCACAACCCACCTGCACCTTCTGTCTTCCCCTCCCTTCCACATCTCCTCAGACCACGGGGAGGCCATTCACGTGTTGCACTATGAAGCCTCCCAGGAGTACCTACCAGGCGCAATTTGACCCACAACCCGCCCGCCCCTCATGCGCTCCCCTATGCCCTCCCCTCCCTTTCACCCCACCAGACCACGGGGAGGCCATGCACGTCTTACACTATGAAGCCTCCCAGGAGTACCTACCAGGCGCACTTTGACCCACAACCCACCTGCACCTTCTGTCTTCCCCTCCCTTCCACATCTCCTCAGACCACGGGGAGGCCATTCACGTGTTGCACTATGAAGCCTCCCAGGAGTACCTACCAGGCGCAATTTGACCCACAACCCGCCCGCCCCTCATGCGCTCCCCTATGCCCTCCCCTCCCTTTCACCCCACCAGACCACGGGGAGGCCATGCACGTCTTACACTATGAAGCCTCCCAGGAGTACCTACCAGGCGCACTTTGACCCACAACCCACCTGCACCTTCTGTCTTCCCCTCCCTTCCACATCTCCTCAGACCACGGGGAGGCCATTCACGTGTTGCACTATGAAGCCTCCCAGGAGTACCTACCAGGCGCAATTTGACCCACAACCCGCCCGCCCCTCATGCGCTCCCCTATGCCCTCCCCTCCCTTTCACCCCACCAGACCACGGGGAGGCCATGCACGTCTTACACTATGAAGCCTCCCAGGAGTACCTACCAGGCGCACTTTGACTCACAACCCACCTGCACCCTCTGTCTTCCCCTCCCTTCCACATCTCCTCAGACCACGGGGAGGCCATTCACGTGTTGCACTATGAAGCCTCCCAGGAGTACCAGGCGCACTTTGACTATTTCCACGATGATATCAATACGCGCAATGGGGGGCAAAGGCTTGCTACCGTTTTGATGTACCTGTGAGTGTAACGGGGGGGAGATGAGCTGTGACTGTAACGACAGGGATGTAGCGAGAGAGGGGGGTTAGAGGGCCCTCTCGGGAGGACCAGGCGCACTTTGACTATTTCCACAATGACATCAACACGCGCAATGGGGGGCAGCGACTTGCCACCGTTCTAATGTACCTGTGAGTGTAACGAATGGGAGGGATTCGGGGAGAGGGGACGGGTTTAGAAGGCCCTCCCAGGAGTGCCAGACGCACAATCTGACTATCTTCACGATGACATCAACACACGCAATGGCTTTTGAGTCGACTGAGAAGTCAGTTTTGAGTCGACTAAAAAATTACCACGATGACATCAACACATGCAATGGGGGACAGAGGCCTCCTACCATGCTCATGCACCCATGAGTGTGGCGAGGGAGGGGGGAGGGGGTGAGAAGGGGAGGGGGAAACTGTCTCGCTCCCTTCCTCCACACTCCCATCTCTCCTTCGTGCTCAGCCCACTTCCCTTCCATCTGCCTCCCTTTAAGTCCCCCTTTCTTCCAATTCACCATCCCCGCCTCCCTTTCAATTTCCCTCCCTTTCAATTTCCCTCCCTTTCAATTTCCCTCCCTTTCAATTTCCCTCCCTTTCAATTCCCTTCCAATCCAGTCCCCCTTCCCATTTCTTCCAATCCAGTCCCACTTCCCATTTCTTCCAATCCAGTCCCCCTTCCCATTTCTTCCAATCCAGTCCCCCTTCCCATTTCTTCCAATCCAGTCCCCCTTCCCATTTCTTCCAATCCAGTCCCCCTTCCCATTTCTTCCAATCCAGTCCCCCTTCCCATTTCTTCCAATCCAGTCCCCCTTCCCATTTCTTCCAATCCAGTCCCCCTTCCCATTTCTTCCATCCGCCTCCCTTCGAGTCCCCTTTCCTTCATGGACGGTTTTTCTAGCAGCAGAGCTCACCCCATCCAACATCCACTCACCTTTACCACCAGACTCACAGCATTATAGTGTGCGAGTGAATTGCTGACCCCTTTTCACTGCCCTCCCCTGCTCTCCAGCTCTGACGTGGAGGAAGGGGAGAGACGGCGTTTCCAGCAGCAGTGCTCACCCGAGCCAACATCCACTCACCACCACCGCCGGACTCACTCACAGCTCTTTTAGTGCGCCAAGGCCATGCCATCCAACTCCGTCTCTCCTTCATTCCCTGCCATGCTTTCCCCTTTCTCTTTCCAGATCTGACGTGGAGGAAGGGGGAGAGACTGTGTTTCCAGCAGCAGAGCTCACCCCATCCAACATCCACTCACCGATACCACCAGACTCGCAGCTCTCCCAGTGCGCCAAGGGCATGCCATCCAACTCCATCTCTCCTTGCTCTTTAATCCTTCCCTCTTCCATCCCCTGCCATCTCTTCCTTTCTCGCTCCAGCTCTGATGTGGAGGAAGGCGGCGAAACAGTGTTCCCAGCAGCGGAGCTCACGCCAGACAACATCCACTCACCGATACCGCCGGACTCGCAGCTCTCCCAGTGTGCTAAAGGCATGCTGGCTGTGAAACCCAAGAGGGGCAATGCGCTGCTGTTCTGGAACCTGAAGCCAGACACAACCCTTGACCCAAAGAGCTTGCATGGTGAGTCGTGTGTTACTCCCCCCCCTTCCAGCCAACATACACACACACTCAGTTATCACCAGACTCGCAGCTCTCCCAGTGTGCTAAAGGCATGTTGGCAGTGAAGCCCAAGAGGGGCAACGCCCTGCTGTTCTGGAACCTCAAGCCCGACATCACACCCGACCCAAAGAGTTTACACGGTGAGTGTTAGCCTCCCCATTATACCCTCAACATTACTACCCCACTCGCTGAACCTCAAGCCCGACACAACCCTTGACCCGAAGAGTCTACATGGTGAGTTTCCCCCCTGTCCAGCCAACATACACACCATTACAGCCAGACTCGCAGCTCTCCTAGCGTGCCAAGGACACACACTGCTGTTCTGGAACCTCAAGCCCGATACAACCCTCGACCCCTAGAGTCTGCACAGCGAGTGTTACACCTTTGTCAGTCAGCACAGTATACACACAGCAGCACTGTTACCACGAGAATCGCACTGGCAGTGAAGCCCAAGCAGGGCAACGCCCTGCTGCTCTGGAACCTCAAGCCAGACACCACCCTCGACCCTAAGAGCCTTCAGGGTGAGGGTTACCCCCATTGGCCCTCCAACATACATGATGGATTTTTTTTTTTTTTTTTGTGTAGGCCAGGATACATGGTACGCCATGATTCGAGTGAGACTTGGATGTTTGTTCTTGGCATAATGTGTGCATTTGCATTGCTACCGTGCAAAATTTTGATAATTAGGTCATTTTCTGTTTCCATGAGCGGCCCCTTCAAAAAATATACATCTGGTGTGTATTGCTGTTTTGTATGCCAACGTTATGGCAGCTGGATGCCCAGTTATTCGCGGAAACAAGTGGAGCGCTACCAAGTGGATTCGCGTACAACCTCGACATGGGCAATATTGATTTATACAGTGTAATCAGGAAAAGCACTGCCTTAGTGAGTCAGTCATTGTAAAAAGACTGACAACGTCAATGCAGCAAAAGGGTTACATATTTGATGATTGTGCGATTGGCCGTGTAACGGATTGACACCTGAAATCTGTTCTTGGGAGTCACGAGAAATAGGCGTCTTTTTTAAGGCACCTCGAGAGTGCGCTGGCGTGTCCTCCCTTCAGAGTCATTCGGTACCTGGCAGCAGTCGCTGTCAAACCAGCGCTCGAAAAGTGCGCGTGGAGATCCGCGCGAAGTGCGCGTGCACGAATTTTAAAGTAATCATCTCGAGTCGCTATCACGCAAGAGACCCAAGACTGAGCCGTTTTTTTTAGTCGGTCAAAAAAGGAAGAGTCAGGCGCCTCGGAAATCACGCCAGACTCCGAAAGCACCTCGGGCTGCCACGTTAGAGCCCGAGCTCTTAAGGCGCTTCGCTTGCCACGCCAGATTCCGAAGGCCCCTCGGGGCTGGCATGGCGGGCGTCGGCGGGGCGTTCGGTGGGAGCCGGTCGCTGCAGCCAGTTCCTCCAGAGAAGGGCGTGTTCCCATTGGACCATTTCGGAGAATGCAAGCAGGTGCGTTGGGGCTGATGGTAGAAATATGAGTGTTCCCGTTAGACCCCTTCGAGTGCAAAGGGATGCAGCGCGGTTGACAGGAGTGGTAGGTTTTCTGAAATTTGGATGGCGCCACAGGGTTTCTGGCATGGCGAGTGTTGGAGGAGCGTTTTGGGGGGGGGTAACGGGCGGTCGTTGCAGCCGGTTCTCCTGGAGAAGGGCGTGTTCCCATTGGACCACTTTGGAGAATGCAAAGAGGTGCGATGGGTGGGGCAAGATGGGAAATACTATGGGTGTTCCGTCTTTGGATCTCTCCTGTTTGAGCTACTGAGTGATTCAGATCATGTACGAGAACATAGAGTGCCTGATGCATGCTGCAGGATGGAGTTAGCTGGTCTCCTGATTGTGTCGCTCCTTTGCTGTGTGGCATGTCTCGCTATTGAGTGATTCACAGGTGATGCGCGAGTACATGGAGTGTCTAAAGCAGCACGGCAACCAATCAGACAAGTGCCGGGACATCGCAAAGAAGTACTTGCAGTGCCGCATGGACAGGTGAGCTCCCATTCTTTCACCTTTTGTTGCTGCGTTTCAAAGCACTACAGAAGTTGATGGGGCGTAAGGACCTTTCTAGGTGGCAACCAGTCGGACAAGTGCCAAGGCCTGCTTGATATCCCTCCATCCTGTGGCCCGCGTTCTCTCAACAAGCACTGTGTTTGCATCCCTCCCCCGTGTTCCCCTTCCTCTCCCAATGCCGTGCCAGGAACCTCATGGCCCCTCAGAACCTGTCGGAGCTCGGATTTGGCTCAGCACCGTCCATGGGAGAAGCATCGACAGCAGGAAAAACAACTGCAGGTCAACAGAATGCTGAGGACCAAGCAGCCGGTGCTTCGGCTGATGGTCAGAGTATCACCATAAATAGACGAGAGGCCCGAGGGTTCATAGCGGGAATTAATCAAGAAAAGTATTTTCCATAGGTAGTCAGCGCCTGGTTCTTATGGCCACAAAGGCAGCTAAGAGAGAACTGTTCCTACGGTAGTTATGTACCGTATTCTCCCGGACATAAAATCTAGGGTATAGCTAAAAATACAGGGAAAAAATGGGGGGGGTCTCCTCATAGGAAAAAAATACATAATACCCGGGTCTTTACATATGGCATATTTTAGTGTTAGTGTTTTTTTAATTAGTCAATGTGGGTGTTTTGCTGGTCGTTTTAGCATCACTGCCTGAGGCGCGAATGTGAGTTTCGGCCTCGAACTTCATCGCCCCCACGAAAATGGCATGTGGCACCTCTCTTGCCACTTGCAACGAAAGATTCACCTGCACGTGGCGACAGAGAAATAGTGGGAGGGGCAAATCTCGGCAGATTGCCTTTGAATGTACCGCGAAATTTCATCGAGGGAGAAATTCACACGATATTCTTCCGTATTGCAGCTACTCGTTAACGACTATAATAATGAATCCGTAAGAAAAGGGGGGTGTTATAGAAAATCAGCCAAAAAGGGGGGTATAGTAGAAACGAGGTCTATCATAACACCCACCCCGCACAAGCTACCCGGGGGTGTACAATTATGGGGGGGTGTTTTTGTCAGAATGAGGAATGAATGTTGCATTGATGTTGGTTGGGGTACATATGACAAACCCTAACTTCTGTACCCCCTAAGACAAACCTCACTACAGGCTACAACATTTGACACACCCCCATAGCCTAAGTGAGGGGTGTCTAGCAAAAACAAAAAAGAGTACGGTCACAAGACCAGTCCAAAAGAAAACAAAGCTCAGGGTGGATCACAACGTCACCACACACTCTGAGCACAAGCAACAGTGGCCACAAGGCCAGTCCAAGAGATCACAAGTATATATAGTAAATGTACAGACGAAGCAGGCAATAAACTCAAGTCTACGCATGACTAGAACCTGTGTCAACAAGGCCTAACTGCACACAACACCTCTGGTGGTCACAAGGCGGAAGCGCCTTGGTGAAGATGTCTGCAGTGTTGGCCTCGGACTCTACGAACTCGAAGCGAGCCTGTCCACGCCTCTGCAACTCTCGCAGAAGAAAGTACCTGACGTGAATGTGCTTCACTCTGCTCTCCAGTCGCGGCTCACGACAGAGGAGGATCGACGCCTTGTTGTCAGTAAACAAGGTCGGTGCAGAGCTCGGCCGCTCACCAAGGTCAGTGAGCAAGAAGGTCAACCACCGCAACTCCTGTGCCGCCATGGCACCAGCGTAAATCTCAGCCTCAGCTGTAGAGGTCGAGACAGAAGAGGAGCGCGTGGAACGCCAGGAAACAGCTCCAGAACCCAGACTGAAACAGTACCCCTGAGTAGACCTGTGAGTCTCAGCGTCGTCAGCGTAAGAGGAGTCACAGTGACCAGTGAGTACGACAGACTGCTGCCCTCCAAGAACTAGCCCCACGCCTGATGTAGTCGCTAGGTACTTCGCCACCCTCACAGCTGCCGTCCAGTGAACAGGACGGTGTCTCCCTGGCGCAACAAAGCGCGCAAGGATGCTGAGAGGGAAGGCGAGGTCCGGGCGAGTACAAGTCATCAGGTACATGAGGCAACCCACAAGCTCTGCGTAGGGACCACTAGGCTCAAACGACTCGTCAGGAAAGGGACCAGTGAGTCTGTGGTCAACAGCTAGAGGTGTGCCCTGTACGGTGGAGTGCTGAAGCCCGAACCGCTGAAGGACCTGCTGCACCATGTGTGACTGTGAGAGTGTAATGGTGCGAGCGGCTCTGTCCCTGGTGATCTGCAGGCCAAGGTAGTGGCGCAGCTCACCAAGATCAGTGCACGTGTGTCTCTTCTGCAGTTCGGACTTCATGTCTGCCAAAGCAACCCTGTCCGAAGTGGCGAAAACGAGGTCGTCGACGTAAACCAGAACAAAGAACGGTGTGGAGCCACGACGAACGAACAGCGACGGGTCGGCAGAAGACGGCTGGAACCCAAGGTCAGAGAGGGTAGAACGCAGAGTGTCGTGCCACTCACGAGGGGCCTGGCGAAGACCGTAAACAGGTCGCCTCAGCCTCCACTGGGTCCCAGGAGGGAAGGTGCCAGTGAAGGCCGAGGGACGACGCAACCAGACCTCCTCGTGTAGGCTGCCTTGAAGGAAAGCAGTGGAGAAGTCAAGAGAGTGTAGCTCGTAGTCTCTCTGTGCTGCTACGTGTAGTAACACCCGAAGAGTGGTCATCTTCGGGGTAGGTGCGAAGGTCTGAAAGAAGTCAACTCCCTCGCGCTGACTGAAACCTCTAGCCACGTAGCGCGCCTTGAAGACCGGGGGAGATCCCGGTGGCCGCTTCACCCTGTAGATCCACATGCCGTCGACTACGTTCGCCCCAGGGGGGGGAACCTCATCGACGTAGGTGCCTGTGGATCTGTAGGAGGCCATCTCTGCGTCCATGGCAGCTCTCCACTGAGAGGCCCAAGGCCCTGACACTGCCTCAGCGTAAGTGCGAGGAGTCGGAATGTCAAGGGCGTCGGGGTCACCCTCAGGGGCAAGGAGCATGGCACAGAGATGAGGGGAGGCGGCCGCCAGGAACTCTAGCTCAAACTGCCTGTCCTCTAGGGCGTCACGGCCAAGGGCAGACACACCCCCGACGGCCAGAGGACTGGTAGGAGGAGCAGCCACGAGCGTGGTGGCGTAGTCAAGGCGGCGGGTAGAGGCAAAGTCAGTAACTGCGGCAGTAAGAGCGGACACAGAGGACACAGAGGCACGAGGGTGAGTAACAAGAGAGGCGAGAACACGAGAGAGAACAGGACGGTACGTGCGGTAGTAGTCAGTGACAGGAGTAGGGAGCGACACAGTGAGGGCCGACTCAGGAGGAGACGGAAGCACAGACTGAGACGGACGAGGTGGACTAGAAAGAAGGAAGGCAGTACGAAGGTCAGTGAAGGGAACAGGAGACGAGGGACGAGCACGAGGGGAGCGACGAGTAGCCCAAGAACGAGACGGAGGAGAAGAGGACAAGGGCGGAGAACTGGGGAAAACAGCGGGGGAGGAGTCAGGAGGAGGAAACGTGGGACCGTAGACAGGAGGAGAGGCGGAGGAGGGAGGAGAAGGGGAGGGGAGACCAAGGATCCGAAGACCCGAGACAGGAGGAGGAAGTGGCTGCTGCTGCTGCGGCTGCGACTGCTGCTGCTGCGGACGCGGCTGCTGCTGGGACTGCTGCTCCTGCGGGTCCAGCTGCTGCTGCTGCTGCTGCTGCTCCTGCGGCTCCAGCTGCTGCTGCTGCTCCTCCAGCCGCTGTAACTCCCTCTCCTCTCTCTCCAACGCCAGCTGCTCGTCACGGGCACGGCGAACACGAGCCTGGTGCCTAGTCGGGTAGGGGTGGGGGGGTGGAGTAGTGTCCGAAGCAGCGGCAGCTCCAGAGTCCACCCCAGAAGAACTAGGCGCACCACCCCCAGAGGCAGCACTAACACCAGCTCCAGACCCAGGCTCACCTAAACCCGAAGGAGGCGCACCCTCACCCCCAGACGCAGCACCCCCAGTGTCCGCGCGGCCAGCACCAGCTCCCGGACGACAAGAGTCCTCTGCACCCACCGGGTCAGCTCCAACTCCAGAACCAAAAACTCCAGCTCCAACCCCAGCTCCAACTCCAGCACCCCCAGAACCAGAAACTCCAGTGCCAACTCCAGCTCCAACTCCAGCTCCAACTCCAGCACCCCCAGAACCAGAAACCGGTACAGGAACAGGCGCCGTACCAACCTCTCGAGAGCTAGCACCAGCGGCACGCTGCGAGGAGGACTGTGGGGAGGGAGGCTGTACCGGAGGGGCTACCGAAGGAGGAGGGGTAGCCTGGGACACACCTGACGGGGCTGGACCAGGGGGGGGAGGCTGTACCGGGGGAGCAGGAGGGGGAACGGCAGTCAGGAAGAGAGGGGGGGGAGGAACCGGGAGACCTCGACTGGGGTACCTGACGTAGTACGGAGTGGACTCCTCGAAACGAACGTCACGGGAGTCAAAGAACCGGTGAGAGGGAGGGTGGTAAAAGGTGAAGTCAGAGGAGTCCTCAGGGAAACCAAGGAAGACACAGGGGACGGCACGAGGCGAGAGCTTGTCCGCGGAGGTGTCGCGGACAAGAGCCAAGCACCCCCAGACACGAAACCGCGACGCAACACCAGGGGACCCTGTCCAAAGACTGGTCGGTGAAACCTCTGGTCGAGAGACACGTGGCCAGAGGTTCAGCTGGTGCGCGGCGTACCTGACCGCGTAGGGCCACAGAAAATGGGGGGCACAGGCGTGAGTCAGGGAGGTGCGGGCGATCTCCATGACCAGGCCTATGCGGCGCTCAGCAACCCCATTCTGCTGTGGGGACTCTGGAAGCGTCCAGGACTGACGAATGCCCTGCTCGCGACAGAATCCAGCGAGAATGCCGGAGTGAAACTCACCCCCACGGTCGGAGTGGAGACAGCTGACACGACGACCACAAGTGTCCTCGGTGGTGAGCAACCACCTGATCAGCGTAGAAGTCACCTCAGACTTCTTCGCCAGAGGGAACACTGTGGTGTAGCGGGAGAAGTCGTCAACGACCACCAGAAAGTAACGCTCACGCTCAGGGCCTAGACGAGGGGCTGGGCCCCAGACGTCCAAGTGAAGCGTCTCAAAAGGCTCGGTGGCCGGACGAAGGGAGGAGGAGTGAGGGGTGGCGCGCAGCCTACCCTCGATGCAGGGACGACACGGCGGCGCAGGCGAAGGCGGCAGCGACGGCAAGACACGTGGGAGGCCTAGGACAAGACGCTGACTAGACATAGCACGCAGACGTGGAAGGGACGGGTGCCCCATCCGGTGGTGCCACAGAACGGTGGGGTGGGCAAGCGACCGGCAGGAGCACGACGCAGCGACTGGAACAGACGTAGGAACCTGACACGACACAGACACCTGGGGGGACGTAGCAACCTGGTGAGACGCGGGGACCCGAACGGGGGGGGGAACCGGGGGCAGTGGCAGTAGGGGGGGCTGCTGGTGCGGCCGCTG